GATACCACAAAAACTTGCAAAAACGTTCGTATGCAGGTACACGTCTTCGTATAGACCCTCTATAACGATACCTTCCGATATTCGGTATTTTAATGATTTTAGAGGAATTATTAACCGGAATTGTTACAAATTTCGTATTTGAAGCTCGTAATGGGTACTACAACCTATGACGGAAAATTGTCTTTGTAGGTCCAGGTCTTCGTACAGGCCCCAGATATCAGTACCTCCCTCTATTCGGCATTTCGATGACTTAATGTACTATATTCACCGAAATTGTTTGACATTTCGTATTTCAAGTTCCTAACAGGTACTACTGCCTGTGGCGGAAAATTTTCTATGTAGGTCCAGGTCATCGTATAGCTCCGATATAACGGTACCTATTTTCCTCTCCCTATTTTATTCACCGGATGTTTTTCAAGCTTCGTATTTGAATATTGTAATGGCTTACGACAAAAGTTGCCTATGCAGGTCCACGTCTTCGTATAGACTACAATATAATGGCTATATCCGGTGTTTTTAAGATTTCAACAGAATTTTAAGGGATTTTATTTTTTTATTTTTATTTTATTTTTTTTTTTATTTGAAAATTTACAAATTCGTTCATTTGGAAAATTATCACTTCAAAAAATCTAAAATCGAAGTCGATTTTGGTTTGAAGTAAGGCAAAATTTACAGATCAGATATTAAACGTTTTGTTTGGTTGAAGACAAAATTCTTGACATCATTGGTGTTTGGCCAATTTTAGCTATTTTTGATGAATGCTACGATAGCCGTGATTTTAGTTCTAAACACTTAAGAGTTTTTCGCCATTAAAAAAAAAAAAACCACCAAAGAAAAGTTGTAGCGAATTCGACTAATCGATAAACCAAAAAGTCGATTTCTTCTTTCTACCAAGCAAAAATAGAGTTTCGAATTCGGCTATTAAAAATTGTAATTTTCTCATGTTAACGGTAAAATCACGACGTTGATATATATTTTTATTTGAGCCATATTGGAGATCAATACCTAACCTTATATTTATAATTTTTTTAATGTTTCCCTACTCTCTATTTTCTCTCTCTCTCTCATCCCTTTAGTGATGCTCAAAGTCGTCGCCACGCTGATACGGCAATCGAAACAAACCGAATCCCTGATTGAGGTGAAAAAACTCTTCCTCTCCGACATGACACTGCTGTGCAATAGTAATCGTGAAAATCGACGAACCGTTCTGCAAATGTCCGTTTGGCAGGAATGGCTCATTGCCATGGCCTATATACATCCGAAAAATACGGAGGAACAAAAAATATCCGATATGGTTTATTCGCTGTTCCGTATGTTGCTACATCATGCCATTAAATATGAATACGGCGGCTGGAGAGTTTGGGTGGACACTTTGGCCATTGTCCACTCCAAAGTCTCCTATGAGGAGTTCAAACTACAATTTGCCCAAATGTATGAGCATTATGAGCGCCAGAGAACGGATCAAATAACTGATCCTGCCCTGAGACAAGCCAGACCGATAAGTACCATTAGCGGCTGGGAAAGGGAAGAAATGCAGCAACAACATGGCAGCGGAAATGTGGTACATAATGCCACATCGGTGGCCTCTTTGGAGGATGTGCCTCCGGTGGAAGAGGAGGTGGAGGAAATAGATATGGAAGAAGAATCCACCCAACAGGATGAAGAGATTGAGGAACCAGTCGAAGAATCCAAATGTGCTTGTGCCAGTGATGAAACAAACGCCACTGCCGTTGCTGCCCCAACCTGTGAGGAGAAGTCAACGGAGGTGGAAACGGAAGAGGAGACAAAAGAAGCAGCATCTGGTGATGCAGCAGCCATTAAGTCAAGTATATCCAACATCAGTGATGTCTACAATGAACACATCAAATCCGAGGTCTTGGTTGTGGCCACAGCCCAATGCAATGGCAATGCCTCATCAACCTCCACAAATACCAGTGCTAACACAACACCCGCCAAAACAGCCAGCCTACCTCCTGCCACTGCGGCGGCAGCTGGTGGCCCAGAAGCCTTAAAGAAAACCCTCAACATAGATGACTTGGAAGAATTGGAATTGGAAAATGCCAAGGCTGCCACCTCTGTGGAAGATGCCGAGGCCCATGTCCAAGAGGTTTTGAAAAACTCCGAAAAGGTGTTGCAAGAATGTAAACTTGTGGCCGATGAAATGCAGGAGGCTTCATCTGTTATCAAGGATGAAGAGATTGAATTGGCTGTCAATGAAGTGGTCCAGGGTGTATTGAACAATGAGAAGAAACAAATCAAGGAACCGTCCATGGAAACATCGACAAAGGCAGCAGAGGAAACCAAAGCTGAGTTGGAAGAAAGCGACAAAGTATCCCTGCTCAATACCAAGAATTTGCTGAATAATAATCTAACAGAAGCCGAGGCCGAGGCCACAACAGCTTCAACAATAGATAACAACAATGTTAACAATAACAATGCCGAAACCAGCAGCCCCACGGGGGCCCAGGAAGACAACACCACAACCCAGAAAACCACAGATAATGGGGAAGGCCACGACGAAAAAGAAACTAAAAAGACTGAACAAAAACAAGAAACTAATCAAGAAAATCTTTTAAATAATAATGACATACAAACGGAGGCAGATGCAACACCAGAAACAACAACAACTAATGACCATTCCAAAAATCCGGAGACGGAAGAAAAGAAGGAAGAGTACAACACAAAATTGCCAGCAGAAGAAACCTCTGCCAAACCCAATGATTTAGTGGAACTTGAAGTCAGTTCTTCATTGTCCACGACCGTTACGACTGGAGAAACTTCGGAGGAGATTTCATCGCTCAGCCCTGATACCACAATATCTAGTCCCTCTATGATGGATGATGCCCCAATGTTAAGTATTAATGATGAGCCAGCTACCACGCCCGTGGAAGAAAACAAAACCGAGGCGGCTGTGGTAAAGGATATTGTCGATGAGTTAATTGACAAAGTCATTGAGAAGTCCGTCGTCGAAGAGGGAGAAACCAACAACAATGATGTCGACGACAAAGAAAAAGAAGCCGAAGAATTCATCAATGAGACAGCCCAAGAAATCATTGATGATGTGGTAAAAACAGCTGTAGAAGAAGCTACAACTACCGAAACAAAACCTCTTGATGAGTCGAATTTGGCCGAAAAGAAATCCACTTCACCCAGTCCACTACCAGAGTCTACAGCCGAAAAAGAAAATGTCGAAGCCATTGTCCAAACCGTGGTAGATGATTTGGTCGAACAAACTGTCAGCACGATCATTGATAACGCCACGCAAGAAGCTGAAACTGAAATCGTTGAAGAAATCAGCGAACAAGTTGCCGAACTTCAACTCGATGATGCAATTGTCGAACAAACTGAAGAGGAGACTCAAACCTCGGCAGCTGATGACTTGGAAACAGTGCCACCACAACTGCTGCTGCAGGAAAAAATCGATGATGTTCGCATTGAAGATGATGAATATTTGGAAGAGCCCGTCAGTCAACATGAGCAACAGACACAGACACAACAAACTGAAGATGTGGGTAGCGATGCCGTAGAAGAGAGCCAGGATCAAGGAGAACAGGATGTCCATCAACATCAGCAGCAGGCGACACAACAACAGCAGCACAGTGCCAGCACGCAGGTGGAAAATCAACATTTCGGTAAGTTGAAGAACTTTTACAAATTTCTCTTAGTTTAATGAAATCAAGTCACTACCTTGGAGGGTAAACGGCGATAATTTCTAAAGCCATTGTAATTTTAACATTATTTTTTAAATTTTATTGAATGAAAGCAAAAAATATCGGAAATAGCATCAAATTTTAGAATAAGTTTAGATTTTTTTGAATTGGTCACCTTTGGCACGAATTATGGCCTTCAAACGGCCAATGAAACCGGTATAGAAGCCTCATCGTTTCTGTCCTGGTACAGTTGCTTTGCATGAAATCCGTCGTTACCAGAAGAGTACTGAATTGTTGATCCGCAAATTGCCCTTTCAACGTTTGGTTCGTGAAATCGCTCAAGATTTCAAAACCGACTTGCGTTTCCAGAGCTCTGCTGCTATGGCCTTGCAAGAAGCCAGCGAAGCCTACTTTGTTGGTCTTTTCGAATATAATACCGATTTAACCGGTATTTTGGCCCAATCCTGGCGAAGCGCTTGCTTGAGGTGATGGACACTTTGGTATTTTTTAGTGCCATCCTTTCTTTCCAAAATACTCCAGAGACAATAGTCCAACAAATTGGTATCTGGAGATTTTGTTGGCCATTGGCGCTGGAAATAAAGCGAGGAACCTCATTTTATAACAATTCTTGGGTGCCGCATGCTGAGTGCGATGGTTCTGAGTCCTGTTGGAATGTCCAAGGTCAGTGGCCAAAATGTTTGCATGCCCAAGGCTTTAATATACCCTCCAGAATATTTTCGCGATAATATTTGACATTTATTCTGATGCCACGATCGATTAGTATGAGCGGAGAACGACCATCGGCTTTTATGGCGGCGCACACCATCACCGTGGCCGGCGCTTGAGTTCTGGTGGCCAACGACCTCTTTGGCAGGTAAACACGATCATTTTGTTTGTTTACAAACAGCTGAACAACGAATATTTTCTCATCGGAGAAAACGAAATTCGGCAGTTCACCACTTTCGGCCAAGCGAAGCAAATATTTAGCCCTTTGGAGCCTATTTTCTTTCTGTTGCGGTGTAAGTTCTTGCAATTTTTTTGAATTTCAATGGCTTTACCTCGAGCTCAATTTTTAATATTTGTCGAATCAAATATTGCGATATTTTTAGCTCACGAGCCAATTTCGGCCACTGCAAGGCGGGTTTCGATCAAGTCGCAATTTCCCACCAAATCTGCTTAATATTTACATTTGGGATCCCTGCAAAAATTTTTCGCTATAGGTCCTCTAATTGGTATGGCCCCATATAACGGTATCTCCCTATTTTCGGTATTAGAATTAGATGAAACTTGACAATTGGGGTTCTTGGTAGGTCTGTTATCTCCTTGAAAAAAAGGTACGATTCAGATCCACTAATTGGTATAGCCCCCATATAACTGTACCTCCCGATTTTCCTTATTTTGAAGGTTTCTGCCACAATTCCCAACTAAATTACATGAAACTTGGCAATTGGGGTTCTCAGTGGGTAAGATTTCTTCTTCCAAAAAATGTTGGATAAGGATTAAAGTTTTATTATATGCAAGCTGATTTGTATTGAAAATGGGCTACATTAGTTCACGTTTAGGTATAGCGCCCGTATAACATTACCTCGGTATTTTAAAGGTTCCTGCCACAATTTTCCAGCAAATAAGCTAAATATTTACATTTATGGTTCATGGCAGGTCTTTTCTCTCACTGCAGAAATTATTCGCTAAAGGTCGTTTAATTGGTATAGCCTCATATAACGGTATCTCCCTATTTTCGGTATTATGAAGTTTTAAAATTAGATGAAACTTGACAATTGGGGTTCTTGATAGGTCTGTTATCTTCTTGAAAAAATGTTCGATTCAGGTCCTCTAATTGGTATAGGCCCCATATAACAGTACCTCCAGATTTTCGTTATTTTGAAAGTTTTTGCCACAATTCCTAACTAAATTAGATAAAACTTAACAATTGGGGTTCTCGGTAGGTAAGTTTTCTCCTTTTCGAAAAATGTTGTATTAAGGTCCACGGTTCCATCCTCTCAATTGTAAATTGACAACTTTTACTACATCTTCCAGCCGATTTCATTGTGTGAAGGTTTCTGCCACAATTTCCAACTAAATTAGATGAAACTTGGCAATTGGGATTCTCCGTAGGCAAGTTTTCTCCTTTTCGAAAAATGTTGTATTAAGGTTCCATCCTCCCAATTGTAAATTGACCACTTTTACTACATCTTCCAGCCGATTTCACCGGTAGTTGCAGTTTAAGTGGAACACGTTTGAATGCAGATACGTTTATTTAAAAAAGTTTTTTTGCCAAATCGAGGAGGACGATGGAAAAATTCGGCAATTTAGAGTTGGAAAATTATTTTTTTAAAAAAAATATATTATCTGAATACAGCAATCCGTAATTTTTTAAACCCTCCACCATAGTACGAAACGAAATGAAGTAGGTTGATAAAATTTTACTCAAATGTGTATTATGTCTGCAGAACTTTTGGTATTGGTAATGGGTCATGTAGGTCCATATAACGGTACCTCCCGATATACGGTATTTTGATGATTTTAGCGACCTTATTTACCGGAATTGTTTCAAAATTAATATTAAATGTTCGTAATAGATACTACTGCTTAAGACAAAAAATGGGCCATGTAGGTCCACGTCTTCGTATAGCCCCAATATAACGGTACCCCCCTATATTCGATATTTTGATGATTTCAGCGGCATTATTTACCGGAATTGTTTCAATTTTGGTATTTGAAGTTCGTAATGGATACTACATCTTAAGACAGAAAATGAGCCATGTAGGTCCACGTCTACCTATAGTCCCCATATAACGGTACCTCCCGATATTGGGTATTTTGATGATTTTAGAGACGTTATTTACCGGAACTATTTCAAATTTGGTACTTGAAGTTCGTAATAGATACTACAGCACAAAGCAGAAAATGGGCCAAGTAGGCTTACGTCTTCGTATAGCCCAATAAATCGGTACCCCCCCAATATTCGGTATTTTCATGATTTTAGAGACATTATTTAACGGAATTGTTTCAAATTTGGTACTTGAAGTTCGTAATAGATACTTCAGCATAAAACAGAAAATGGACCATGTGGGTCCACCTCTTCGTATAGCCTTCATATAACGGTACCGCCCGATACTCGGTATTTTGATGATTTTAGCGACATTGTTGACCGGAATTGTTTCAAATTTCGCATTTGAAGTTCATAATAGATACTACAGCCTATGTCAGAAAATTGTCTGTGCAGGTCCACATTTTATAGCCCCCATGGTACCTCCCTATATTCGGTATATTGTTGATTTTAGCGACATTAATAACAAATGTTTTTCAAGTTTCGCATTTGAATATTGTAATAGCTTGTGACAAAAGTAGCCTATCGAGGTCCAAGTCGTCGTATAGACCCTAATATACGGCTACATTCGGTATTTTTAAGATTTTAACAGAATTTTTTACGGATTTTATTTTTTTTTTCTTTTAATTGTTAAATTTGTACCAAATGGAGGAGGGTATTCAAAGTTCGGCCCGGCCGAACTTACAGCTTTTTTACTTGTTTCAAGTTACATTTGAACATAAGCTTCCTTTTCCTTTTATGCTGAATGTTCCCCTTATCATGACGAAAAAGGGAGTTAATATCTTCCTACATTCCACTATCAAAAGCCACTAATAATGACTCTAATATTTTAATATATATACATAACCTAGTCCTGCTTTAAAATAAGATATCCTCTATTTACTACGTACTTAACTGTAAATGTTCCAGAAATAGGAAGTAGGGAATATTTGAATTTTAAAATAGCTTTTTTGGGAATATAGAACACCCCTGCCCACCAAATGTTACATTTTTGATATCCTAAAATATTTCTTCAATTTTTCGCGGAAAATTTAAACAAAGACATTTTCTATTTTATAGTCCACATGACAATGACAGACATAGACACATTAACTTGGAGATTATGCACACAAAATTTAAGCGTTACACAGTGCACACATACACCACCACACAAACCAAATGCATGCGGGAGAAAACCGAAAACCAAGGCAACCAAATTCCCTGATGCTCATTAAAATACAAAGTTACGATACGACGACTGACTACAATTCTTATAGTTTTCATTGTGGCATTTGGTGGTGGGTAAATACTTGATATTTGTCGGAAATTCCCAAAACACACAAATCTACGCCCCTCTACCTCTCCCTCCCCGACCACATTCATTCACATATCCTAGCAATTAAACAAATCTCAGTTGACGCATAATAAAAGAGAAAATAAAGCCTCCAAGGATGTAACTAAATTAAAAGGGAGGAGGAGTTTCATATTCGTTTTCGTGCAGTTAAATGAAGTCTCTAACGGCATTGTTTACTTGCAATTAAACTGAAATTTACGACGGATTAAACAATGGCAGATTTTTACAGAATTTGATGCAAAACAAATATTTGCCTTTTATGGGAAATTTAACTAATTCTATCTCTCACATTTTTTTTGCTCTCCTACCATTTCAGACAATGCCGGCAAGCAGCAGCAACAACCTGCAACACATGCCCAACAACAACAACAGCAGCAACAGTCACAACATCAGCAACAACAACAACAACAACGTTCAAAATCCGGCTCAACCCGACCCATGTTCAGTCCTGGTCCAACACGACCACCCTTCCGCATACCCGAATTCAAATGGTCCTACATCCATCAACGATTGCTATCGGACGTACTCTTCTCCCTCGAAACGGATATTCAAGTGTGGCGTTCACATTCCACCAAAAGTGTTCTGGATTTCGTCAATTCCAGCGAGAATGCAATATTCGTTGTGAATACCGTTCATTTGATATCACAATTGGCAGATAATTTGATAATTGCCTGTGGCGGCCTGTTGCCATTGTTGGCCTCGGCCACATCGCCAAATGTAAGTTTGAACTCGAAGCGTATGCATGAACGTTAATTGTATTTGTATAGGGAACTATGGTTCTGTTTGTATAGTTTGTGCATACATGAATGTATGTTTGTATGAAAGTATTTGGGTATATAATTTAAATATGATAGGAATTTAAGTTTTAGGGAAATATGAGTTTTTTTTTTTTTTTTTTTTGATTTAAAAGCGGTATACATGTTGAAAATTATACAGAATACCAAAAATATCACCGGAATAATAATCCTGCCAGTAATATCCATCTTTCCTTTCATGCTATCATAAATAAAAAATATCAAAATATTATTTTCCTTCAGAAAATTCTCACTTGCGAAATTAAAGCAAGTTCGCAAAAAATGGAAATATTTCCAAGAAAAAGAATATACATGGACATTTTATTGTTTATACCTTACACCACAAGATGGTCAGGGTATTATGTCTTTGTACATTTGTTTGTAACAGGCAAAAAGAAACAAGATAGACCCATAGTTCCTTTAGATCATCTGCATAGAATCACATTCTGAGTCGATTTATGCATGTCCGTCCGTCTGTCCATGTTTTTTTTTTTTTTAACAAAGTACAGTTCGCATTTATAGCCCTATCCAGATGAAATTTTGTACAAATCATTTGTTTGGCCCAAGAACGAACCCTATTGAAATTGGAGATAATCGTTCAAAATTTAGATATGGCTCCCATATATATCTTCGTCCGATTTCCCTTTTATTGTGCATCAACCGTGCAATATCAGCCCGAATAGTATGTAATTTTGCACATACAACCAAATTAGGCCTGAAAATGTATGCCAAATTTGATCGAAATCAGTTCAGATAGCTATATCTGTTCCCATATATATTGCTCCCATATATATTGCTCCCATATATATAGCTCCCATATATATTGTTTATCCGATTTGTTATTTTTTGTCCTCCACAGCCGTGATATGCACTCTGCAACAACAATATTTCGGGAAATATATCAAATAAAGCTCCGAAATACATTTGTTAAATTTTATCGAAATCGGTTCAGATTTGGATATAGCTCCCATATATAACTTCGTCTGATTTACATTTTATTGTGCACCAAACGTCTAATATTTGTCCAAATGGGATGGAATTTGACACTTACCACCGAATTGAATCTAGAAGCTAGTATGTCAAATTTGGTGAAGATCGCTTCAGATATAGCTATAGCTCCCAAATATACTGTTCATCCAATTTGTTATATTTGTAACCAACAGCCGTAATATGCACTCCGTAGCAACGATATTTAGGGAAATATATCAAATACAGCTCAGAAATATCTTTGCCAAATTTTATCGAGATCGGTTCCGATTTGGATATAGCTCCCATATATACTTTCATCCGATTTCAAATTAATTGTGCACCAAATGGGCAATAAAAGTCCGAATTTAAAAGATACAAATGCTCCGGCATATTTAGTCCTTTGAACTTTAAATTATAATTATAATCATGGTGTGTATTATTAAATTCTCCCATAAAAACTTTTAATTGTAATGCGGATCTCTTCTAAATTAGCAAAGTGGTGTAGAGTATCATAAAGTCGGTCCCGCCCGACTTTAAGACTTTCTTTACTGATTTTCATTCTAATACACTTAATTTAAAGACGGAAGCTTATTAGGAACTAGTAAATGTTAGCGAAAACTCCACCTTAAGATTTTAAATTCGTTTCAACAGTTCGTGTTAGGCCTTTTATAGGTCTTTTGTACTATGAGTGTTTATCACTTTGTGAGTAAGCAATTTTCGTAGTCTCCATCAAAATATCCGTAATTTTTTATGATTTTAACGACATTGTAGACCGGAATTATTTCGAATTTCGGTTGGAAAATCTTAATGGCTACTTCAACTTATGACAGAAAATAGTCCATGCAGGTCCACGTCTTCGTATACCTCATCTAGAACGGTACCTCCCTTTTTTTGGTGATGTTAGCGACAATTTTCAACGGAATTGTTTTGAATTTCGTATTTGAAGGTTCTAATTGGTACTATAACCTATGACTAAAAATTACTTATGCAGGTCCACGTCTTCATATAGACCCTACATAACGGTACCTCCCAATATGTGGTATTTTTATGAATTTAGAAAAATTATTGATTGGAATTTTTTGTAATTTCGTTTTTTAAGTTCGGAATCAACAGTGATATTCACATCAAATGTCAAGATTTCAGCTCTATTCCTTCATCCTATAGCAGATTTAGTACTTTTCGTACAATAGTTCTATACATTTCCAAAAACACCTACATATCTCAATCCCTGATACCAATAGATACCCCAAAATCAAATGATCTGACCCCTCACCCAATACACAATTTTGGAGCACTTAGTACTTTTCGATCAATTATAGTACACATTTCCAAAACCACCTACATATCTCAATTACAGACACCAACAGAGACTTCAATATCAAATTAGAGGATTCCAGCCCCAGCACTTTACTTAATACAAAATTTAGTTTTATTTAGTACTTTTTGTACAATTATAGTAAACATATTCAAAATCACCTCCATATGTCAACTCCAGACACCAAAATAGTTCTCAATATCAAATTTGAGGATTCCAGCCCTATCTCTTCACCCAATAAAAAATTTAGTACTATTTAGTACTTTTCGTACAAATATAGGATGCATTTCCAAAACTACCTCAATACTTATTCGTACAAATACAGGGTGAGATAAAAAAAAACTGCAACAATGTCGGCAATAGCATCAAATTTTAGAATAATTTTAGATTAGTTCGAATTGGTCATCTTTGGCACGAGTTATGGCCTTCAAACGGCCAATGAAAGCTTCACACGCTGCCCGAATGTTGCTCTGCAGTATTTTGGCTCATTCCCGCCGAAGCGCTTGCTTGAGGTGATCGACACTTTGGTATTTTTAGTGTCAACCTTGCTTTCCAAAATACTCCAGACACAATAGTCCATCGGATTGGATAGGTTTTTGGTGGTCATTGTTGACTGGAAATGAAGCGAGGAACCTCATTTTGTAACCATTATTGGGTGGCGCGTGCTGAGTGCGATGGTGCTGAGACCTGTTGGAATGTCCAAGGTTTGCGTGCCCAAGGCTTTAATAAACCTTCCAGAATATTTTCGCGATAATATTCGGCATTTATTCCGATGCCACGGTCACGGTGTTATGGTAGCCCACACCATCACCATGGCCGGCGCTTAAGTTATGAGGCCAACCTAAGGTACACATTTTCAGCTGACCTCTTTGGCAAGTAAATACGATCGTTGTATTTGTTTACAAACTGCTGGACAACGAATGTTTTCTCATCGGAGCGGAGAAAACCAATTTCGGCAGTTCACCACTTTCGGCCAAGCAAAGCAACTCTTTAGCTCTTTTGAGTCTATTTTCTTTCTGTTGCTGTGTACCTTCTTGCCCTTTTTGGAATTTTAATGAATTTACCACGAGCTCATTTTTCAGTATTTGCCGAATGGAATATTGCGATTCGTTCAGCTCACGAGCCATTTTTCGGCCACTGCGACGCGGGTTTCGATGAAGTCCCTGCTTTACTTTTCGAAAAATTTCTTCTTATGTTGCTGTTTTTTCCGTCCACTTCGTTGACGTCGGGCAACGCTACCAGTATCACGGCAACGAGCGATGGTACGAGACACAAAAGATTTATTCACATTTTAATTCTGGAGTGCTCTAACGATAACCACTTGTGGTTTTCCGACCAAATATAAAGAAATCACACTATCACGCTTGAATTCCATCACGAATAAGTTTTTTGCTGGAAATTGCTCACAAAAATACTTTTGTACGCTTGTAAACAATGTAATAAGCTGTCACTGCAATAATTTTAACAGCTGTCGGACGAGTGGCTTAAAAATGACAGCAGTCTGAAGTTGGTTGCATTTTTTATCATCTCACCCTGTATATCCAACTTACTTTCCAACCCTGATTGCCATACCAAATTTAAAGTTGTAAGCTCTATCCGTTTGCATAACGCCAAATAGTAACATTTTAGAACTTTTCGAAACCTTAGAGTTTGAACTTCCAAAAAACCCTTTGGTATGTCTATCCTACACTCCATCAGTGACTGTCATTCCAAATTTCATATCTGACTCATTCCCTTTCTCCGAACTATAAAGTTTTTAGTTTATTATAGTACTTCGTAAATTTTTTCTCAAAAATGATTCATGATTTGTGGACCGATTTCTCGAGAGAAATGATTTCCGTGGGAGTAGAATTCCGCGCTGATATTCGTAATTCCGCTGTAAATGTTTTTTTTTTTTCAATTTTAACTTTTCCTCATTCAAAACTTTCATCAAAAATTTTATTAAAAAAAATATATTTTATTTTTGTTTCTTTCTTTCCACTTTCAGTCTGAACTTGATGTACTGGAACCCACCCAAGGTATGCCGCTCGAGGTGGCCGTCTCATTTCTGCAGCGTCTTGTCAACATGGCTGACGTGTTAATTTTTGCAACATCATTAAATTTCGGTGAATTGGAAGCCGAGAAGAACATGTCCAGCGGTGGTATACTGCGACAATGTTTGCGTCTCGTCTGTACATGTGCGGTGCGCAACTGTTTGGAATGCAAGGAACGGACCCGCTACAATGTTGGTGCAATGGCACGAGATGTGCCCGGGGCGGCTCATTTACAAGCGCTGATACGTGGTGCCCAGGCTTCGCCTAAGGTAATTTTGACAATCACAAAAAAACTCACAAACAAAAAAACTAGAGTACAACAATAACAGCAACAAAAAACAAAACAACACAATGTTGTTAAGTCGCATCTTTAGGGAGAGGGGTGATAAGGGTACATGTGTATGTACATACATCAAAGCTATACCTAGTGTCCTTCCTGGACCAGACACGTACCAAATACCAGTCAGCATACCAACTACATTCACTCACACACACACACGCACGCATTGTAGGGCCAATTGTGTTACCCGATTTTCGGGGCAAGGGAAATATGGTGTATCCAAACCCAAATAGAATGTTGTTAAAAGGCAGTATTGTGTTGTACCCCGTTTACATCTGGTATTCGTGTTCTCCCAACTCTTTTCTGCAAAGAAAATGGAAGAAATTTTTGCTTTACGCCATGCGATACTGACTGCACTTGCCAGCACCACTTCTTCATTTCATCGTTTCACTTGACGGAATATTCAATTGTGCTCTCTCTCTCTCTCTGGCTGTGGTCTTCATTAAATGGGAACCTTGCCAAGAAGAAAATGGATGAAATTGGCAGTAAGAAAATGCTGCATAATTGTTGTTACCATGACACAAATGGCTTAGAAAGTGCCAAAACAAGGTTCTCCATCTCCGCTGGATGTAAGACGACAATCGACAATGGTTTGTAATGCGCTCGACAGGGCTTCTTGGTTTGGGCCTTTGTTGAGGATGGAAAAAAAGAATTAACAAAGCAGAAGAATATGCCCTTTGCCAAATTTGATATGTCCGTCCGTCCATTCATCCGTCCGTTGTTCGTCAGTCAGTCAGCCAGTCCATAGCTACTTGCCTTGGCTTGTCTATCTATCCCTGCCCTTTATATCACTGTGGACACTTGTCAAGCCATCAAATCTTATGTTGCATGAACAGCAAGAGTTGTAAGTGACTCTATTGTTGAAAATGCTGTTCCATTCAATTCTTGTTGGCCCATTTCCTTTTTTTTTTTCGTTTTTTTGTAAAGTTGACTCTATTGTATTTTCTCTTGAACTTGTTTTTGTTGTTGTTAGTATATATTTTTATAACTGTTTTCATATTTTCTATTCGCTTTCTTTTTTTTTTATTGTTGTATTTCTAGAACATTGTCGAGTCAATAACAGGTCAATTATCTCCGGTTAAGGATCCTGAGAAATTGCTACAAGACATGGATGTAAATCGTTTAAGAGCCGTTATCTACAGAGATGTGGTAAGTAGTGATTGAGAATTGCTTTATTGTTGTTGTTGTTTTTATGAAAAATAGATAACACATTCAATGGGAATGGGAATTCGAAATTTCAACATTTCAATTCGACTGAAAATGTTTCCAATTTAGTAGGGAAATACTAAAAATCGCTAAAATTTACTTGGAGTTCTTTTTTTAATTGAAGCCTTGAATTCCACAATTATAAATCAACCGATTTTTTATAAAATAAAAATTGAGGGAACGCTTAAGATGTAACCTATAGAACTAAAAATATAAAAAATTCCCGAAAAATATATAAGAAAAAACCAAAAATGATTTTGTAGATTGCCGATTTAGTAACTCTTATGGATATATGTTAAAAATTAACCCAATATTTTGAAAATTTTAATTTGAGATTATAATTTTTTTTGGCATTTCATTTTAATTTTTTGGGGAGGGTTTTAAAAAGAGTTACAGTTATTGTTTCCAGCTATGCTGTGTTTCTTCAATGGTTGATTTGTTGAAAAACATCATAAATAAAATTCGTGGTCTGTCGAACTTCGTATTACAGCTTGTTTTTGGAGTAATTATTTTTCAATTCGTACTTGTATTTTACGAATAAAAAGGCCTTTTAATGTTTGTAGCAAATTAAAGATTTTCCCCTTTCAATATGGGTTGTTGTAATTATAAATACGATTGGAAACTTCAAAATCGACGATTTTCACAATGTATTTTATATTGGGAGACATGACAAATTTGAAAAATACCGGCTGCCGGTTTAAATTTTTTGACATTTTTTAAACCCTAAGCCAAATGGCTACAGAGGGTATATATCCTTTGATACGGTCACAATGTGCCTTATCGAAAAAACGGTTTTAGACTCTCCGTTTATTTAGATCAACTCCGTTTTAAGACGCTTGGAATCAATCTAGAGGTGTCCGTCCGTTCATCCGTCTGTCTGTCTCTCGAAGGGAGTAACCGATTTGGTCCAAACTCGGTGCATCGTAATATTAATTTAATTAACTTTAATCGAGTTCGAAGATAGGCAATATCGGTGCACTCCTTCTGGTACCTCCCCCACAAAAGGTCAAAATTTTCAAAGAAAACATTTGACTGCACAGAAAGGGAAATGATCATCCAATTTGTCTCTTACTTTGCGAATTCTAATATTTGTATCAGCGCTAGATCAGGCGCGAAAATGGACAATATCGTTCCACTCCATCAAGTATTTCCCCTACAAAGGGTCAAAATTTTGAATAACTGTAACTCTAATAAAATGTGACATAAGGGCCCAATGGTCCTCAAATTTCACATATCACAATATTTTAATTAACCCAAGGTCTGGATCTGGTGAAAATTGAAAAAAATCAGTCAACTTCTTCTGATTTTCCCACAAAAAGTGTCAACATTGTGAATATCCATGATGCTCATAAGACGCCAAATTAACATCCGATTTCATTCAGACTTGGCATATAATAATATTTCTATCAACACAAGATCTGTTATAAAGATGGTAGATATTTGACCATTCCCTGTGGTACCTCCCCCACAAAGGTTCGAAATTTTGAATAACCAAAACGATCATATAATCTGAAATTCTCTTCAAATTTCACAATTGACGTTATTTCGATTAATGCAAGATCTGCTGTGAAGATAGAATATATCGGCTCAGTCTTCCTAGTAACCCCCCCCCCCCCCCCAACCAAGGGTTCAAAATTTTGAATATCCATGAAGCTCATAAGACGCCAAATTAACATCCAATTATATTCAGACATGACATATCACAATATTTCTATTAACACAAGATCTGTTATAAAGATGGTAGAGATCGGACCATTCCTTCTGGTACCTCCCCCACAAAGGGCAAAATTTTGAATAACCAAAACTATCATAAAATCCGAAAAAGCATCCGGTTCTCTTCCAATTTCACAATTTCCATTATTTCTACTAACACAAGATCTGCTGTGAAGATAGAATATATCGGTCCACTCTTTCTGGCACCTCCCCCTAATTATGAATATCCCTGAAGCTCATAAGACCCCAAATTATCTGTTATAAAGATGGTAGAGATCGGATCATTCCTTCTGGTACCTCCCCCACAAAGGGTCAACATTTTGAATAACCAAAACTATCATAAAATCCGAAAAAAGCTTCCGGTCTCTCGTCAAATTTCACAATTTCCATTATATCTACTAACACAAGATCTGCTGGGAAGATATGATATATCGGTCCACTCTTTCTGGCACCTCCCCCACAAAGGGTCTTAAATTATGAATATCCCTGAAGCTCATATAACTCGAAATTAACATCCCATTCCATTCAGGCTTGGTACATCTTAATATTTCCATCAACACAGGATCGGTTATGAAGATGGTAGATTTCAGACCATTTCTTCTGGTACCTCCCTCACATAGGGTATACGATTTTTGATCCAACTCTCTTCAAATTTCACACATTCAAATATTTTTGCTAACACAAAATCTGTTGTGAAGATGATATATATCTGCCAATTTCCTATACATCTGTCATAACTTTCGAAACAATGCGATTTTTTACAACTTGCTTTATCTATATATTTCTCTGATAATTTAATTAATTAATAATTTATTATAAATATTCGATTTCTACATATTTATATTTTGGTCTGTATTAGATGAAGTATGAAAATGGAGTACTTCGGTCCGCTATATTTGTTACCTCACTCATATTTCCATATTTTCCAATAATAAAGTGTAGGAAGTAGTCGATATAGTCAAAATCTGGCCCGTTGTAATATTTTTATCAGTCTTAGGTCAGATACGAATTGGTCAATATTGGTCAACTGCTTCGGAACCTCAATCAAGGCAAAACCGACTGATACTAGTTTATTTGTTTTTTTTTTACATTTTAGATGAAAAAGTAATTTGTTGGCTATTTAGAGCAACCGAAATGTTTTCGATTTGATTTTTTGGTACTTTCCCAGCTAATATTAGCTTCTTTTAGAATTATTCTAAAAATAATAACCACTTTTTTCTATTTGTTTAGGAGGAAACCAAACAAGCCCAATTCCTCTCATTGGCCATTGTATACTTCATCTCCGTTCTGATGGTGTCCAAATATCGTGACATTTTAGAACCACCGGCAGAGCCACAAATACAACGGCAGTCACCCATAATGCAGAGATCAGCTGGCGGTAAGTCCATTTCATATTCCATTACACTTCCCCTTATAGAAAATATTAAACAATAGATACAAATAATTTCAATTTATCTTAAGTTATATGTATGTTTGATTTTAGTTTAATTTTTTTAAACCCAAAACTGAATATTTTTCAAACTGCACCAAAATTCTCACGTAACCAAAAACCAAACCAAAAAAGCTAACAAAAAATATTTTGTTTTTATTTAAAATAACAAAAAATCGTAGTAAAAATGTATTACTAAAAACAAAAAAATAAATCACAATTTTATTTTTAATTTATTTTTATATGGAATAATTTAATTAAGTTATGTATTTTTTGTGTTATTTTAAAAAGGGGGTAGCTATATTAGTTTAGTTATGATTAGAGTTTTATATATTTTAGTAATTTTAATTTTAGTGTTTTTTTAATAAAATTAAAATCCGTGAAACTATTTTTAGTAAATATGGCAGTAATTGATAAAATCTCAATATTTTATATGTTTTGGATTTTTTATGTTAATTTAAATTCCCCTTATTTGTTTGTATGTTGAAATTAAATTATTTAAAAATATATAAATGTTACCCTCTGTAATTAAAAAAAAATGCAACAAAAAAAATAAGACCAAAGACAAAACAGAATCCCCAACAATAGTCCAAAAAACTGCTGATAATCATGAAACAAATTACAAAAAAAAAAAAAAAATTATCTAAACTTTCCCATTGTACAAAAAGTCATTATTGTTTTTGTTGTTCCTCCTCCAAAGGGATTTCAATTTTTTTTCTTCTCATTTTTTTGTTTCCCAATGGTATTTTTTTAATTTGGCTCTTCCTAATCCCAGCCCATTTCCTCTTGCTCCCACAGAATTTTGTCCTTGTCCATTCAGCCAGCTTATGGCTAAGGGCGTTTTTTGTTTTAATAAAAGTTTCTTAGTTAGTTAAGTTTTTGTTTTTAATTTTGTATTTTTTCTCATTTTCTTGGTTAGTTGTTTGTTGTTAATAATGTCATTATTGCTATGCAAAACAAAAAATAGAACAAAACTAAAAAAAAAAAAACTACAGAACAAAAAACCGAAACCAAAACGTATTGCTAATCATGGAACCCCTTTTCTCGTTTTTTCTTCTATTTTCTGTTCTGGTTTTTACGTACTTAATTTTCCATGCTGCTTTTATTCGGACATTTTTTTGTATGATAATAATTATGTGGAACTGAAACAAAACAAAAAAAAAAAAAAAAAAAAATACCCCAAACTTGTATAATATTCCATATGGGAAAATGCAATGCAATCTCTTTTTCCCCCTCAATCATCTCTAACCACCAACCAATCAACTACCAACCACCAACTACGTCATCATCAACCAATAACTTTTGCTAAATCAACAAAACTCAAAAACCCAACTTTATATATACAATTTTTTATTCGAACTTTTGTAAATAAATCTTATCTACATACATTTGTTTTAATGCCGGCTATGCCATAAAATGTAATATATATTTCATCGATATTTGCCACGTTTTTTACCCATCTCCCTGTGTGAACCCAAATGAACTATTTGCTCTATCGCTCGCTCCTCCTCTCTCTCGCTCTAACTGTCGCAAAAAAACTTTTTTTTATGTGGAATTTAATAAATGCATATTTCCTATGGCCGCCATCGTATTAAACCGTAAAAAAACAAACAAAAAAATAATAAAACCACAAAAATGTGTATAAAAATCAAAAAAAAAAAACTGTTGGTTATCCTTACATATCCTGTTGCTGCCGCTGTTGTTGCCGTTGCCATACATCACCTGTCTGCCTCAAAACTTAATATACAAAATACAAAAACTTTATGCAAATATGTACATTGTTTGTTGGAAAACAATGTCAATACGATTTCAAACCAATGAACCAACCAACCATCATTATTAAATAATTCCAATAATTAATTCAATAATGGTTATCCGTTTTTTTCCTGTCTTTTGACATTGCCAACATATTTTATTAAAAATGTCGTTTCTTTATTTATTTTATTTTAAATTTTATTAATTCAATGGAATTTTGTGTTAATTGAATATTTTAAAATTTTTTATACCATTAATTCTGATTTATTTTTTTCTCATATTATTTATATCGCTCGACTGATTTGATTTTTTATTCTCATAATACATATTTGTTTTCATATTTTCCTACGCTTATTTGACTCTCCTCTCCATACTCCTATTATTCTGTATCTATCTATTAATTATATATATTTGAAAAATAACATTATTAAATACGAATCCTTCCTGTGACCTCTTATTTTCTTCTCTTTCTCGCCTCTTATAATTATTTTTATGTCCCGTTTTTTCTACCTTTCTTTCCCCACTTTTCTCTCTTTTTCTGCGCTTAATTTGTATATTGCAACTGCATTATCTCTCTCTTATTTTATTGCCTTCCTCCTATCTTTCTTTTTCTTGTCATTTTTATTCTTCTGCAATCTTGGTTTTACCACCTGATCTATAATCTCTCCTATATTTTACAAATTATCGCCTATTTCTGATTCTCCCTCATGTTGATTCATTCTGACTTGTAATATTTGTCATATTCCTGTTCAACCTCTTCCCTTTAAATAATTATAACATGACCTGCAAAATATTTTGTTCCCTCGACTTCTTGGATTCTCTACCTCTCTCTCTCTCTCTCTCTCTCTCTCTTTTGGTAATAAATGCATTAACTCTTCTTAAAAATCGATTAAAATTTTTTGATTTATTATTTCACCCGTGGTTTTTCTTCTTTTGGTATGCCCTGTTTCTCTTCTTCTATTTTCTTTTTTTTTTGTCTCTTTGTACATTCTCTCTTCTGTTTTCTGATAAAATTTGATCGTTGTACTTGTGCTTTATCCTTTTTTGGCATTCTGTTTTTTATCTTCTTTTTTATTTGTTTCTGTGTTTACTCTCCTCTTTCTCTCTCCGACAATAATAACTTGGATAATATCTTTTTCATCTGTTAATTGATTTTTTCTCCGACATTGTTTCGGACTTCACTCTCCTCCTTTTCCCACCTTTTCTAATATTTTTTTTCTCTTTCTCCGTTTGATTATTTTTCAATTCGACTTGTTATTTTTAATCATTCTTACTCTCCATCCTCAATTTCTCTTTATTATATAATATTACTTCTCTTTCATTGATATACTGTTAATTCAATATTTTGCCTATTTTTATACTTCATCCTTTTTCATTTGTATTTTTTACTAATTTAATTTTTTATCTTTACTTTCTACAACATCTTTATTTCTCAAAAAAAACTATAACTATACGCTCTTCCGTTTTTCTCGTATTCCATATATTCACATTAATTATTGAATATTCTATATCTCTTCTTCTATTGTTGCTTTAATTTTCTCATTTCTCTCTGCGAAATTTTAAAAATCTCTTGAATCATTTTATCTACAATTTTGTGACCACGAATCGTTATCCTTTACTCTCTTTTCATTCTCTCTTTATCTATATCTCTTCTGCTATGATTTGACGGCAAATTTTGTGTCTCTTTGTGCATTTTTTCTCTTCTCTCTCTTTATTATATACTCTCTTTCTATACAACATTTGACTCTCTCTTTTGATTTCGCAACACCTTTCTCCAATGATATTTATATTTTTCTCTCCATCTGTTCATTGAAAAATAATTGTTCTTTCATTTTTTTTTTTCTTTCTTATTGCATTCTCTCATTTCCTATATTTTCTCCTTGATTTTCTGTTCATTTTACTCAATCCTTATGTATTGTTTTTCCCCCTTAATTTTCACTCCCAAAACTCCCTTTATATTCATATTTTTCTCTTGCTTCGAATACAAGTAGAACCTTCAGGTCGTCCCTTATTCCCCCAGTGGTCACATCATGTGTATCCACAATTTTTACCCGGTTCGCATCATAATCATGTAACAACGGCTAACATGCAACAGCAGCAACAGCAAACAAATATGCAACAGCAACAACAACAACAACATGTCCAGCAACATCATCATCACCAACAGCAGCAACAACAACAACAGCAATTATATTATCATCAACAAATGCCTTCACCGCCACCGCATCAACATCAGCAGCAACAGCAGTCAATGCAACAAACATCTCATTTACAACATCAACATCATCACTTGACACATCAACAGCAACAGCAGCAACAACAACAACAATACTATCATCATCAGGCCATGAATAATGCAGCTGTAGCAGCGGCAGCAGCTAGTTATGCCACTCATTGTCCTTCACCGCCTTTGGCTAACCAATCGACAAGTCCTTCAACATCTTCAACAACCAACACCTCACAGCCAGCCTCAACATCTTCACTTTCAAGTTTGGCCTCACAGCCACATCATCAGCAGCAACGTCATGGACAGAAACACCAACACTACCAGCCGCAACAGCAACAGCAGCAGCACATGACAGCTGGCGCTGGAGCCAATGGAGGAGGCCACTACAACATGATGAATGGCAGTCAAGTGTTAAATGGAAAAATATCGACGCCACAACAGCAACAGCAATACTCGAATCCCTCGGCTGCTGCTTCAGCTGTGGACATGAATGGTGCTGGCTATCATCAGCATCCACATGCCCATATGGCACAGCCACCACAATATATGCGTACACCTTCAACATCTTCCTCGGCCATGATGATGACGAATGGTCTAAATGGCATGACCTCAGCCCATCAAAATGGTATTGTCGATTATCATTCCCAACATGGGGGAGCTGGTGTTGTTGGAGGTGGTGGCGGTATGATGTTAAATGGTGGCGGCAGCGTTGGCAATCAAATTGCAAATGGCAATAATCCCAGTCTAATGCATAATAATGGCAATGCTGGCAACCCGGTCGCGGGCAATAATCACAGTTCTATGATCGTCGGTGGTGGGGCCATGAATAATGGTCGTAATATGCGTAATGGTCTGGGTGGTCATGTTTTGGGTTCAGCTGGTGGAGTTGTTGGTGGCGGCGGCGTTGGCATGCATGGTGCCAATGTCATGGCCTCATCATCGTCGGCATATAAACAAAACAATGGTATAAATAATAATTATCGTTACAATGGCCGTAGCGCAACAACTGGAACAGGTATTAAGCAAAACAAAGAGTACATACATATGCTCTTGCTCTCTTACTCTCTTTCTTCTCGCAGACTCTCTTATATGTAACTCTTACTATTAGCTAATAACCTTATATGATAAGAATTCTTTGGCTTGTTTCGTTTTGATTTACTTTGTTCATTTCATTTCGTTTCGTTTTTTTATTTTCTGGATAATCATTTCCGTTTCCTTTCTCTGGGAATTATTTTTCATGTACGTATGTATGTGAAAGCATTTCCTGCGATGAAATGAAATAACATAAAAATGTGAAATCTCAAAAAGTACATTTTTATGTTTCGGGCTTAATAGGCTTTTTTATGATATCATTTCTTCTTCTTCTTCTTTGTTTTTTTTTTTTTTTGCCTTCTCATTTTCCGCTTTGGTTTTATTTCTATGCCAGGGTCCTCGTTGTTGTACCCTTGTTATCTATCTACTTTATTGAAGAATTTTTTTTTGTTAATGCTGTTCAGTTGTTTTCGTATTTTTGTATTTATGGTTAATCTCTTTTTCATGTCCTTCAATGTTGTTGTTTTTTCTTCTTCTTTTAATTAGCTTGTTATTCGATTCCTTAAAAGCTTTTCTGTTTATCTTGAATTATTATTTGTTTTTTTTTTCGTCTTCTCTTCTTCCATTTACATTTCTTTCAAGTCTTTAATTTTGTTGAACATAACAACAACAACTACAAGGTGTATAGGGCTATAAATACAAACGGCTACCTCTTTTGTTCACTTGTCCAAGGTGCTTCTTCTTCGTTTCTCGCCTTTTTTTCATTTGCCTTGTAAATTTTATAAGTTTATTTATTTATTTATTTTTTGTTTTGCTCTTCACTTGGGATACCGTTTCATTTCTTTTTTCTTCTTCTATTTTTCTATTCTTTGTGTTTTTTATTGCTTCTCTCAAGCACTTCATAAATAAAGAGATGGCACCATTTTTTTGAGCACCTTTTTGACAGCACCATCAACAATTCTTCCCCACCTCCCCTCTCGAAGCAAAAACGCAATACCTGTACCATAGGCATGTTTTGTAAATAATATTTTAAATGATCAACATTAAAAGAAAGCATTTTTTGTTATCCAAGATAAAAATGAAGATAATTAAATAAAATAAAAAAGGAAAAATAATCTCAAATGATAATAACAAATAAAATATGGGTCAAGTGTGACAATGTGACAATTTTCAAAAATTAGCAGTGATTTAAAAATATATATTTGTTGAAGTGATTATTAAAAGAATGCCGATTTTTATATAAACAAGATAAAAAGTATCAGCCGAGAGATGTATACCCTCAGCCAATGTTCGATTATTTCTTCTTCTGTTATATTATTCACTGATATACCCCATCTTCACAGCAGATCTTGTATTAGTAGAAATAAACGGGGTGTGAAATATGAAGAAAACCGGATACTTATTTCGGATTTTATAATCGTATCGTTTGGATATTCAAAACTTTGACCCTTTGTGGGGAAGTTACCAGATGTTGTGTTATAGAAACATTGAGATGTGCCAAGTCTGAATAGAATCGGATGTTCACTTCGCGTTTTATGGCTTCATGAATATTCAACATTTTGACCCTTTGTGGGGGAGGTACAAGAAGGAATGGGCCGATCTCTACAATCTTTACAACAGATCTTGTTTTGATAGAAATATTCAGATGTGGCGAGTCTGAACTGAATCGGATGTTAACTTCGCGTTTTATGGCTTCATGGATATTCAAAATTTTGACCATTTGTTGGGGAACGTAACATATTTTGGGTTTATAAAAATATTGCGATGTGTCTAATTCGGACTTTTACATCATATTTTATAGGAGTTATAATTATTCAAAATGTTGACCCTTTGTGGGGAGTAACTTAATGGACTGGAGAGATATTGTCAATTTTCGCACCTGACCTAGCACTGATGCAAATATTAGGATTTTCAAACTTGGAGCAAAATCGGATAATCTTTTTTCTTTCTGTGCAGTAAAATATATTTTTATACCCTCCACCATAGTAAGTAGGAAATATTAAGTTTGTCATTCCGTTCTTAACCCTCGACATATACAATTTAGACCCCACAAAGTATATATATTCTTGATCAGCATAAAATTCTATGTCGATTTAGCGACGTCGGTCTGTGGAAATCAATCTAGCTTCCGAACGAATTGAAGTAGATTGACAAAATTTTACTCAAATGTATATTATGTCTCCAGGACTTTTGGTATTGAAAATGGGCCATGTAGGGCCACGTTTTGGCATAGCCCCCATATAACGGTACCCCCCGACATTCGGTAGTTTGATGATTTTAGCGATATTTTTCACCGGAATTCTTTCAAATTTGGTATTTGAAGTTCGTAATGAATACTACAGACTAAGACAGAAAATTGTCTGTGAAGGTCCACGTCTTCGTATAGCCCCCATATAACGGTATCCCCCGATATTCGGAATTTTGATGATTTTAGCTACATTAGTCACCGATTTTTTTGCTAAGTTTCGCGTTTGAATATTTTAATGGGTTATGACAAAAGTTACCTATGTAGGTCCATGTCGTCGTATAGACCCTAATATAACAGCTACATACGGTATTTTTAAGATTTTAACAGATTTTTAAAGAATTTTATCGTTTTTGAGAATTGCCAAATTCGTTCCAAATGGTGGAGGGTATTGAAAGTTTGGCCCGGGGGGATGTTGGGGGATGTACCAGAAAGAATGGACCAATATTGTTCATATCCGAACTCGATCGATGATAATAATATTACGATGTACAAAGTTTGGACCAAATCGGATACTCCATTCGGACGGACATCGCTAGATCAACTCCAAATGTCCTGAATTGGATTTTTACAGGGTAGGATTAAAGAAAGGAAAAAAACTGACATTCTGACTGTTTCAATTTTTTTAGTAAAAACTAGACGGATTCTGTCGACCTGTCAAATAGAAATAAATTGTGCGACAAGCTTATTTTTTAGAATATGGCATTTCTAACATCTTCGGCTAGTTTTGTCTATATTTTGCGAAGTTTAATCAAATTTTCGTTTTGTTATAACCATAACCAATTTATTTGTTATAACCATTTAGATTACATTCAATTATATGCCGATTTCTAGGGTTTATTCTATGAATTTTTCACTACAGGAATAGCGGACATGGTGATATTTTCAAATTTTGTGAGGAGAGAATTTCTATGGTTAGATGACTGTTTTTGCACAATTTTATTGTACGAATACGATTTAGGACTGATATATGAAAATTTAAAACTTCATACGCGATTTTTTTTTTTTTTTGTTTCTCGGCATTGTAAATTTTAGATACCAGACGTCACAGGAACAGATATTAAAGTTTAAGATTCAATTTTCGCAGAATATTTAGAACATTCTCGTACTATTTCTGCCATAAGACAACAAAATTGATCATATTTTTTAATTTTTCTTATTTATATACACAAAAATATAAATAAAATGTAATGAATGTCCATTTCATTAAATTGTATAAATAACACACAATATTTACAAAAATGTATACCCAAACGCATAACAATGAATGGATTTTATAGTCTAGTACAGAGATATCCTGATAAATGTACATATGTGTGTGTGATTGTATTTATTTACAAACATAAACAATTTAAAATCCATCCATTTTGTTAGGAGCACAAAGTATGTAGAAAATGGGTTATAAAACCGGCACTCGACTAGCATTTCCATCATACATGGCATTCTAAAATGATACTCCTTCTCTATAACTTTTTGGGGAACCAACTTCTGTTATGAATTCAATTTCAAATGCATGTGATCCCCAACAGGAGTCTCAATTTGTTTTGTTTTTTTTTTGGTTCACTAGAGTTCATTTTTGGGTTTATTTACTTAGCATCACGGCGAATAAAGTATATATACAGATTGTGGGTGATGGGCAGAAAATTACTAGCCGTACTCAATGGGAAAATTACTGGATACAGCTAACAAATAAAATAGCACACTCAGCAAATACTAAACATTTTATGTAACGTGGCTGTCAAGGGTTTGTCTGGATAGTTGCATCGATTTTAATTTGAATTTAATATTTTTTGTTTTTATTTTTATGTGCAGTTTTCTAAACGCCGATAAAACTCCATTGCTTTTCTACACTGATGACAGTTGTAAACGACTGAATTTCGTTCTATTTACTTTTTGGACCAACAAATAATGGCCGTATTGTATATATTCCTACTACATACACATGTATGTATTTATTTACATATTTGACTAGTATTTATTTATGTTTAAAATGCATAAATGCATGGCCACATGCCACACAATAGTCTCTCTGTCTATATTTGTATTACAACGACTGTTGAATAATTAATGGTTTCCATTGTATCTTGGTGATGGATACAATGACAGAAATAGAGTTTTTATTTAAAATTTCATTTGTTTGTTAGAAATAAAAAAATATATGTATTTTTGAATTTTTCATACGGTATTATTGTGATAAATTGCCAATAACAAATTGACAGTTAATTTTGAAAAGTTTTATGTGAAGCCATGTTTTAATGGATGCAAATCATTTAATAATTCAATGGAGAAAAATCACTGTTTTTTTTAAATTTTGAGTGCAATTTATAATGTATGACAGAACATGAATTTAATATACATATTTGTTAATAATATATGACTGACATTGTGGTAAGCATATAAAAGCTTATTGTTCATCAGATTTTTAGGGAGTTTTTAAAACATTTTCAAGAAGGATTTTAAAATTAATTTTTTTAGAGCCTTTATGTAGAACAATATAACAAAATGATGCATCAATTCCAATTTGTAAAGTATTTTGACTCAATACAGAGTTCAGGACATAACAAAAAAATGCTGCATGCAATAGTACACCCCAAATCAATTTTAGAAAGATTGTTAATACTGCTAAAAATGTTCGTTATCGAAATAATAACTTCAGCTTCAATGTGTCTTTGGATAAAATCCCTTTCCGAAATTTAGAGTTGCGGTAACAGTCCAATTTAAAAAAAAAAAACAACGTAGGAATGGAACTACTTGGTAAAAGCTTTACACATCGTAATCATTTTTTAAACAGAGTTTGGAGGGGCTCAAATTGTATCCGACAATCTAGCTTTGTATCCGACTTGGTAAAAGCTTCGCACATTGTAATAATTTTTTAACGATTTATGAGAAGCAAAAAACCCCAAAATTGGTCGCCTTCTCCACTTATCTCCTCCTAAAGCGTCAACATTCGTAACAATAGAAAATCTCCTAAGAATCATCACTTTCGAGATTTCTCGGGATTCTTAGGACTATCAACAATAAGATCAAGTGTAAAAATAGGATGACCCTATCACTTCTTTTCATATCTCCCGAACACATAGGAAACTTATTTCTCATAAAATGCCAAAGGCCCAAAAAAAAAAGTCGTGGAAACTTTATGAGCCTTAAAAAGATTAAGAATGGTTAGAATTTTCCAGAAAAAAAGTTATTCGAGATGGAATTCCAAGCGTGATAGTGTGATTTCTTTATATTTGGCTGGAAAACCACAAGTGGCTGTCGTTAGAGCACTCCAGCATTTAAATGTGAAAAAATCTTTTGTATCTTGTACCACCGCTCATTACCGTGATACTGGTAGCGTAGCCCGACGTCAAGGAAGTGGACGGAAGAAAACAGCAACATCAGCAGAAATGTTTCGATCGATACCAGCGTCTCAGTGGCTCGTGAGCTGTACATATCGCAATATTCCATTCGGCAAATATTGAAAAATGAGCTCGGGATAAAGCCATTGAAATTCCAAAAAGTGCAAGAGATTACACCACAACAGAAAGAAAATAGACTCAAAAGATGTAAAGAGTTTGCTTCGCATGGCTGAAAGTGGTGAACTGCCGAATTTGGTTTTTTCCGATGAGAAAACGTTCGTTGTCCGGCAGTTTGTAAACAAACAAAATGATCGTATTTGCTTGCCAAAGAGGTCAGCTGAAAATGTGCACCTTCGGATGTGGGCCGCCATAACAGCCGATGATCGCTCCCCGCTTGTATTAATCGACCGTAGCATCAGAATAAATGCCGAACATTGTCGTGAAAATATTGAGGAAGGTGTATTAAAGCCTTGGGCACGCAAATATTTTGGCCGCAGACCTAGGACATTCCAACATAAAAAAAGTATTTCGGGGGATATGCCCTTGGAGAATAATTTGTAAATCTTCCGTATAAATTGGGATAGAATAATTTTGGCATCTCTGGTACAAAATTAGGTATATATGTCCCAGTTTTTATATAGTATAGCCTCCATATAATGGTACATCCTAAGTTTTGAGTGAGAGTTAAGACACAGTTTTTCAACGGAATTGTTTGAGTTTGGGTATTTTTTAACCCATTTTAACCCTTCTGGGAGAAAATTGTCTATAAAGGTCCACGATTTCCTATAGTTGTCTCCGGGATTTAACATTTTTTAATGGAAATATTTGAAATGTGGTATTTAAAGTTCGTAATGGGCACAAACACCGTTGACACAAAATTGCATCCCAAAAATGGAACCACGTGATATTTAGCATTTTGAGGATTTGAAAGGCCCTTTATAACCCTATTGGGTTTTAAGATTTTTAGCAAGCAAACATTTGCTTTTTAAAATAATTTGAATTGGGTACCTTTGACTATATTTTCAAACATTTGACTCTTAACTATTATAAAAAACTATTTTCCACGAGTTGGCATTTGGAACACTTAGTGATAAAGTACTTTATCTGAGTAAATATACTAGGGAAGCATAGTTAAGAGCAAAAGTGGACTTTTATACTTTTTGACTTTTTCCTTTAGCATAAAAATCGGTTTTCGATCTGTTAATTCTGTGCAATTATCTTAAAAATATATTTTCGATTTTGGCTTTTCAAACTAAAGTCAATAGAAATCGACTCTCATCGTGGAAGTCGAAATCGACTATGGTTTTTAAAGATGATTTAATTATCTATAAGAGCGATTTTAAAAGTCGATTTCTATTGTAGATTTGTTGTCTGCTGTTGGGGGAATAAATGTAAGACATTTTCATATTTTCTGGACAAAATAAATACACTTTAATCTGGGAATATTTTATGGCTCGTATGAAAAAGAAAAAAAGAAAGATGTTCAATTAGTAACGAAAAATTCACCTTGTCCTTTGAACCTAGAGGCAAAAATTAACTTCCAATACTTAAAATCGTTTAATTCAATTCAAAATCAATCTATGTATTCCTAGCAGGCTTTAAATCCTGTTATAAGTTTTTTGTACTAAAGGTCCTGATCCCAATTTTGACTGTTTTTAAATAAGGATATGTAAGAAGTAGTACCTGTAAGAAAAAATGGATTAGTTCTAAAGAATGTAAATTTAAAACACAGAGAAATGTATCATGTTTTATAAAAAAATTAACGTTCATAGTTTTTCTTCAAAATATTGAACCTCTTTTCGATGTCTAGGAGTGAGTTATTTTAGTTTACCAACAAAACTATTATTTTTAAAGAACAGGTGCTGATATAGTTTCCCTACATATTTCCAAGGATTTTCTATCTAAACATTAATGAAATAAAAAAATATATGATTTAACAAAAAATACCTTGTATTTACTTGTTTTTGCTGTCTGTATATTTATTTTGTAAATATGTTATGTGCACTCACAAGCCGCAATTTTGAGTTATTTGAAATTTTTTTATTAAAAAAAAACGATAATTATTTTTATATAACATTTCCACTAAGTTATTTTAATATATTATTTATAAGTTGCAATTAATTTTCGCGAATAATAATAACGTTAATTAAGTTAATTTTTTGTAAACCTATTATAAGAGCAAAAATTTATAAAAAAAAAAAAAAACATTTTTAAACAAATACTAATTCCACATAATTTTCATTTTTCTGTTTTATTTTTTTTTTAACTTCAAATACCCAAAAGGTGGCCGTACCATACAAGATGGTGATTATGAAATAATTGTTGTCGACGAAAACAATCCCTCGGTGCTGGCTGACAACGATTCCCATTCAAGTGGACCTCCTTCAATTAAGGTAAGTGTTTGACAGAATATTTTCAATCTATATCATTAAGAATTGAATCGTTTCCAATAACCACATTTATACCGAACAACAAAAACCATTTAGAAAAAATTATAACAAACCCAAAAATAGAATAGATTTCAATGGTCCCCAGGATATCCACTTGTCTCCTAAATCATCATTTTGTTGAAGTTATTATTTTTGAAGAGAGAGAAGAAAAAAAACAACAGCGTTCTTTTGTATTAGAATAACACTTAACGAATTTGCCTCGTCCCCCTTTTCCATTTTCACAAATCATTTGGCATTTCCAAAAATAATTTGTGCTGCTATGTAAGATGTATAAAAAACATACCAAAGTATTTACTTTCAAGTACAACTTGGCATTAAAGGATTTCCTTTTTAAGTGTGCTACCAAAATCAAATCGTCTCTAAATGTGGAAAAATCTTCCCTTACGAACTGGAAGAGGTTCCACCCCCCGTGCTGCTCTTTCATGTCATTGATGCAAAATCATTAAAATGCATTTCCAGACTTATGGAACGAAATGAACTTTTGCTTGAAGATTACTAGAGTTGTCTTCATCGTCATCGTGCCTCGTCCTCTCGCCTACACCCCTTCTCAACCCCCATTGCCTGCTTACTACTTACATAGCAGCATCAATGCAATTATTTTTACACTCCATCCTAAGCTGAGTGTTATTTCTAGATTTACTCTCTCTCTCTCTCCCCTTAGTTGTTTTTGTGCTCCAAGTAAACATAGCTCTGTGTAGGAACTTCTTGAGATTTTCACTAGATTTGTTCTTTGAATGTAATATATTTGAGGATTGTTTTTTTTTTTTGGTTCTCCTTGTTTTTCTTGGCTTCTCCTTGTGAGCTGGAGCTTTTGACGTAACATAAAGCCAAAATGCTGCATGCTGAATTTTTTATATTTGTCTTTTCCGTTTTCCCCAATAAGATTTCGCATTTCCTTCTTCTCGTTCATCTCCTCCCCTTGTTGTTTTTTTTTGGGTTTTGTACAATATAGATAATGTTCAATTTAGCATGGTTTTTGCTCGTTTTGCTTTGGGCAAACAAAAAATAACAAAAACACACACAATCAACATTCATTATCCATTTTAAGAATTATTTTTTCACAACTTTCTTTTTTGGTGAATATCTTGATTGCGAAGGTAAGTGACCAAAAATTGAGAGAGGATGAGATAAAATTTGAATTTTTTATTGAAAATTTAAATGAAAACTAAAATTAAATGACTAACAAAAATAATTAAAAATGGCGTTAAGTTGAATTTTTTATGTGAAAAATTGAATTATGGTTAAATCGGCTAACCTAAAAATATCGAAATAGACTATGTCTATATCGAATTTGTTTGAGAAAAGTTAAACTATCCACGCTAACCCGAATTATCTGTTGGAAAAGGTACCAAACACTTCAAAATACCTAGAATCAGCTGGTACTGCTATATGGCTATTCCAAAAGGTATATTTTTTACGAGGAAGAAAAGTCCCAAATGTCAAAATGAAGCCATTTTGGCTTAAATTAAATATATCTTAGGAATATAATTCAAGTTTGTTTCTATTCGACCTTGTCCAATGTAATTTCAATAAATAAATTTTTCTTTGAGCTTTAGGTCTGCGTTTTTTTCTTTATTCAAAGGAGTAGTATCAAAGCCCTTGCAAAATATCAAATTTATATCCAAGTGCGCATGGCTTAACTGACATTGCGCTGACAAGAATATATATAATATTTGGGCACCCGACGAATATTTCGAGAAATTGCAAACGGAATTATAAATATAATGTGACCTCCATTTTATAGTTTTTATAGTTAAACAAGAATTTTTGAAAATATATGTCGGCATAACGGTAACCCAAGTTCAGGTTTGTTTCTCAAATTCCACTGCATTTCATGGCTTGCCTGTTACCATTCGAAATCTTGTTTTTTCGGTAAGGAGTTGTCTATTTTTTTTTTTTTTTTTTGAAATCTGAATGTAGTCTTTTGGCACTCAAATTATTGCAAATCCAAAACCCCAAAAAATATATATATATAAATCTCCCAAAACATGATAAAAAAATTCCAAAAATGATTTAAAAAGCCCTAAATTTACTCGAACTTTATACGTTACAACACTTCCATCACCTCTAGGTCCAGAGTGAGGGGACCAAAAAGGGACAATATCGGACAACTTCTTCTTCTTCGGAAATGGACCTAAGAACCCGATTTTCTCAATATTTCTACAAATATTAAATCTAATTTAAAAACAACTTCTTCTGAAACCCGTACCCTAACCACCATAAGACCGAAACCAACCCTTAGAGGGTAAACATTTTGAGTAATGATACCTCAAAAAAAAAAGTAAAAGTAGGGTCCGTTTTTTTTAATATTTTGATTTTCTTCAAATATTTGAGCGGGTCGAAAAATATCGGGACACTCTTCCTTAAACCTTCCCTAGAAAATGACATAATTTTGAATAACAAAAGCTCTCACAAAATGGACTTAAGAACCTGATTTTTTCAAATTTATCTATTTTCACGTGGATGTGAAAAAAAATTCAAAATAAAAATATTTGAAATAGTGTTAGAATTTCGTAACAGCCCTCCCCCACAAAAGGTAAAATTAAAAAAATAAATAAATAAAAATAAAAAATCCATACAATTCCCAATTGAATGAGCTCTGATTTTCAAAAAGCATTTTGAATGGTTGAAATTGACGTATTTTATAAAAAAATATATATTTAATTTGGCGTACCATATTATAAACCCTTCCTGCAGAAAATGTTCGGTACATGTCTATTATGAAACCTGTGTTAGAAGATATCACTTGATATTCTGTATTGGGAAAGTTGTAGCCCCATTATTCTACAAAATTAACTGTAATTTAGCAGTTCAGGTTCCCATTGAATAAAAATTCGTCCTATATTTTAATGTCGGTTCACATTTTGATATAAGCCCCATATAGCGATTACAACCGATTTCAGATATTTTTAGGCTTCTGGCCATATTTTCCAACCGAATTAAAGCTCCAATTTTTATTTATGGACCTTAAAACCCCTTTATGTAGGTTTGAATTCATTTTTTAGTATAACCATGATAGTTTGGTACCACTTGATTTTAGTTCAGTTCACAGCTCTCATTAAATGTAAATTCGACCATTTTTTTAACATTGTTTCACGTTTCGACCTAAACTTCATAAAATGATTTTAGATGTTCTTAAGGTTCTGGATGTCTCATCGGATAAAACACATTCTCTCAAACATTTTTCAAAGATTGTCCGGGTTCAGGAAATGCAATGCTCATTTTTACATTATTTTATTTTATAAACGAATTTTTTTAATTTATAAACGCAGTTTTTAAACTAAATATTTCACAATTTGATATTTTTGGTTTGAAACACAAAAAAACTATGTGAAAAAATATTATGTACTCAAAGGTATTATACATGTAAATATATCTCGAAATTTTAGAGATTCTGATGACAACCAATTTGACAATAATTTAAATTCTCACATGGGTCACCGGGCCAAACTAATCGCGTTTTCATTGTTTTTTTTTTTTATAAAATATAAAAAACTACAGTTTACAGTATAAAGTACGAAAATATATGCTCAAACCACCTTGATTTAGTCTATCATTTATTGAAAAAAAAAAAAAAAAATAAATTCAAAACAATATGCAAATTTCTCTCCTCCCCTGATTTCTGGTTACTTGTTGCGCAACAATAAATATTTATTAAACAATATTTTTAAACATTTAAATTTATATTCATATAAATATTTTATTCATATATCATCACTCATACTCTATTTAAGACAAAAAAAAAAACTAAAAATTCAACTAAACATATAAATAAATAAAAAAACATAAATCTATAATTTAATTCAATTTTCTATTTAATTTTTTTCCAACTCATACAAAATCTACTGCGACAAAAAACCTAAATTAATTTATTGCATGTATGGCTATGTTTGTTTGATTTTTTTTACAAACAATTGTGATCATAATTGAATTATAAAACAACCGACCAACAAACCACAAACAAATAAAAAATTACAACAAAATTAACACAAATCCACTAAAAAATCGCAAAACAAAAAACAAAATTTACACACACAAAATACTCAGAGTCCTAAAATGCCAATGAAATCCCAAACAACGACAACGACCAATACACCGACAACACTGACAAAAACATCCACAGTGACCACAACGACAGCAACACCAACGACGACAGGGACAACGGCGTCGTCAACGCCCACGACAATGGTGGCCACCGGTGCCGCCCTGGTCAAAACAATGACAACAACAATTAATTCGGTATTATTGAATAATACACTAACAACAACAAAGACGACAAATAAATTACAACAACAACCATTATCGCCTCCCAAACCAGTGGTGCCACAAAAATTACCCAAGGTAAACAAAATGAAAATTTTCGCAAAACAAAAAAAAACGTATTTGTGTCCCATCCATAGAAAAAAACTGTTCTCCGTCACCATCAAAAATTCAATAACCCACAAAAAAAATCGATTTGAATTCGATTAAAAATTCACCCCAAAAACAGATAAAAAAATTTCACAAACTATCAAAGTAGTCAACCAAAAAAATGTTATATAATAATAATCATTTGTAACACCACTCAATTAGAAAATTGTTCACCACAGCCACCGCAATCACAAAACCACGGACTAGGAATACAACAATACATTCTGGCATTCCAGCGTATTTTTTGTTCGTTTTCGGTTTTCTGTTTTTGTTTCGTGTTTTTTTTTCATTTGTGTTTGAAGTTTGTCTAAAAGAAAAAAATAGATGTTATATATTACACTGGTATACAAATTGCATAAAATGATTTAAAATTATTTTTTAATTTTATATTTTTATGATGAATAATGAAATCTACTAATAAATTCACATATCATATACAGAGTGAGATAAAAAACTGCAACAAAGTCAAACGCCATAATTTTTAAATGTTTTTTTTTTAATGTTATTGAATGAAAGCAAAAAAGTCGGAAATACCATCAAATTTTAGAATAAGTTTAGATTTATTCGAATTGGTCACCTTTGGTATGAATTATGGCCTTCAAACGGCCAATGAAACCGTCACACGCTGCCCGAATGTTGTTCAGTTCAGCTTGAGGTGATCGCCGCTTTGGTATTTTTTAAAGCCAACCTTGCTTTTCAAAATACTTCAGACACAATAGTCCAACGGATTGGTATCCGGAGATTTTGGTGAACAGTGTTGACATGATTGTTTGGATTTCCGTTGTATTTTGTTGCTGCAAAATAGTCTAACTTAATCCCATTTTTTTAGTTTTTATAAAAATAATTTTTATTTATTAGTGGAGAAGAAATCCTATAAATACTAAATTTTTAGAAACCCCATTTCAAAAAATTTGCAATTATTCGGAAATTATTTCAAAATCCAATAACCTATAGTTCATTTTTAGTAGAAAATCAAGAATTTAGTTTTCAAATGCCGGACTTCCTTAAGAAATGTTGTTAAACCCTGAAAAATATTTAAAATACTCATAGAATTTTTCAAATCCAAAAATATTTTAAAACATATCTAAAAGTATCCTAGAATTTAAAATTCCATTCATTCCAATCATTTGAAATATATATGCATCAAAAATTCCATATTTACAAAAACTTATCTCAAACCCCATCTTAAAAAAAATTGAAATTATTTAAAAATCCAAGAAGTCTGTAGTTTATATTTAGGAAAAAGCCATAATTTTATTATCATAAGATGCTTCAAAAATTTTACAAATGCCGAAATTCTTAAAAAAATATTGGAAACCCCTGAAAAATATTTTGAAAAATTCAAAAATTTTCGAAAAATATTTTAAAAACCATGAATTTAAAAAAAAAATGGAATAGCTGTATTTAGAGAGATTTTATTTAATTTTTTTTAAAGAAAAATTTCATCTGCATGGCTAGAGAGAGGGTGTATATCATTTTAATCGGCCAAAACGTGCCTCATCGAAGTAATGGTTTTAGGCACTAGCCCAAATCCTAATACTTGCATCAGTGCTAAGTCATGTACGAAAATGGTCCACTCGGTCCACTCCACCAAGTACCTATCCCACAAAGGGTTCAAATTTTTGAAAATTTATAACTTTTATAAAATGTTATGTACCCAAGATCTGAAGATGGAATATATCGATCCACTTCTTCTGGTAATCCCGCCACAAAAGGTCGTAATTTTCATAAAGATCGCAGAGATCGCACCCATCCTTTTAGTCAAAAAGGATGAATAATCATACCTCTTATAAAATGTTATATAAAAGTCTGATTGTCTCCAAATTAAATATATCACAATATTTTTAATAACTTAAGGTCTGGTGAGAAGATGGAATATATCGGTTCATTCCTTCTGGTGCCTCCCCCACAAAGGGTCAACATTTTGAATATCCATGAAGCTCATAAAACGGAAAATTTTATTCCGATTCCATTTAGACTTAGTACATCTCAATATTTCTATCAGCACAAGATCTGTTTTAATAATGGTAGATATCGGACCATTTCTTCTGGTACCTCCCCCACATAGAGTTCAAGATTTTGGAAAACAAAATGCTGAAAGAAAGCAAAATAAGCATTCTTCTTTCTTCAAATTTCACTCACAAACATTTTGGCTAGCACAAGATATGTTGTGAACCCCTTCTGGTACCTCACCCAAAATGGGTCACAATTTTCAATACTTTTTTCTGGCATAACTTGCGAAACAAATCAGAGATTCTTTACAACTTGCTATATCTAACTATACATAAACCTTAGATTAATAGGAATTTATGATTTAGCTTAAAATTGGATATATATTTTCGATTTTCTCCTAATTTGGCCCATACCAATATTCTTTATTTGTATTAAATGAATCGTGAAAATGGAATACTTCAGTCCACTATATCTGGTAAATTGTCACATATATCCTATAAAATGAATGAAGTGACCAATTTAGTCCATATTCATATTTATTTAGGTCCGATACGAAATAGCCCATTTTTCGGAACATAGAGGTTCCAAAATTTGAATAATCATAACACAAGTCAAAATAAATATTAAAATTATGGAACATTGCCTGATGGTATACATCTGCCGACAAAACCGATTGATACTTTTACACATGTTTTTTTTTTTTAATGCCCACTTTTTATGAAATCTTCATAAATTAAAAAAAAATGTTTCTTTAAACCTTTAATAATTTTTATAACAGCGAATACTTCAGACATTCGTTTTAAGTACCCAAATATTTCTAAATGAATTTTATCGACAAATCCTTCGAAAGATTTTTGTAGATTTCACAAGCCCTTCCAATGGTTTCCATTCAAACCACGAGTACTCCAATTGTTATTTAATTCAGGAATTATTTGAAAGTATATCCCATACACGAATCCCTAATGCGAAAAATACGAAAATAAAGAAAGAAAAAGAAAAGATGTTTTATTTCTTTAATTCAAAGTTTCAAGCTCTGTTTTAATATTAAATTTTATGCTCTTCATAGATCGCATTAAATTGGGTAGGACGATTTTTAATAATTAATAATTAGTAATACCTGCGTAGTTTTTCTTAACTTGTCTGTACAAATTTTCATTATAATGTTTATGTATATACAATAGGTCACACATAAACATTATAATTTAAATTTATAGGGAAAAGTTAAAAGGCCTGGCGTCAAAAATATTTTTTTTACATATCGATAGGTTAAAGTTTTAGTATTTTCCTCAAAAATTTGTATAACATAATATTTATATATAATACGTATTTATAGGTATCTTAAATTATTGTTTGTTTTAAAAAAATTATGATCATATTGTTCTGTATACCAGTGTAATATCTATCTATAGACATATTTTTCATTATTATTTTTTTTTCTATTTTGTGTTTCATATTATTGTGGTCTAAAAACGCATCCATTTGTAAACTATTATTTGTTTTGTGTTTTTTGTTTTATTATTATTTTTTGTTGTTGCTGTCTATTATGTCTATAAATATGAAAAAAAAACTAAAAATAAATATATGTGCATAATTCTTTTGCCATAAATCAACAAAAGTATACATTGAAATGCAAAAGTAGTCGTTTTGTGTGTTAAACAACAAATGTTTTATTGTTATAAAATATGTCGTTTATTATTTTAATTGTTTTGTTGTTGTTGTTGATTATTTTTGTGTTGTTGTTTTTTTTTAAGTTGTGTGTTCATATTTTACCACTTGATTTATTTTTACATATGTATGAGTGTTTTGTTTTTATTTCAATTGCAACTGTTTTGTATCTTTGTATTGTGTTAGAATTTCAATTTTTTTACAAATGATAAAGTAATATTTAAATGAGGGTCTACTGGAAATTAAATATTAAATATGAATTTAAGGATATTGAGGGATTTACTCTGCAGTTAAATAGGAGTAAGGGGAAGTTCTCCTTTTTAGGAGTATTTCTTTTCGATTTGAATTTTGAAATAAATACTACACTCTACAAACTTCATTTAACTAAAATTGTTTATTTATCCAAATTAAATAATAATAATAATTCAAGGTTGAAAAAGTCAGAAAAAGTATTAAAATAATTATTTCACATTTTTTAAAATTTATTATTTTATTTATTTATTTCCAATAGCAACGTGAGTTATTTTCAAAATTGAACAATTATGTTTTTACTTTTTTCAATTCTACATCAAACTTGTAATAATTTTTGAACATTTTTCCTTCCCAAACCTTCCAACAAATAATCAAATTTTAATTGTCATAAAAGTTTTGCCGACAGCCAGAAAAACATATCTCCCCCAAATCTTGCACTTCTCCATCTTTCCAAGTTTATACAGTAAATTTTCTATTAATCCTATTGACCAACCAAACAAAACTCCTTCTCCCTCACCCAAAAACGAAAGTTTGGAATTTTTCTGTAAAGAATTTCTCTAATTGCCAGTTTCCAATAAAAAAAAACATTTGCCAAGAAACTCCGTGAGTTGTAAGGTATCTCGAAAATTGTTTAATATTGAAACTTTGCAATAAATGACTTTCATTGAAAAAAAAAACTTTTTTCCTATTTCTGCATTGTCTTGACAGTCGATATAGTTGTCTATTGGAAAAATTTGTTGAAATGTCAAATTGCTAAAGTTGACTTGTTGCTATGTATTTCGTACATACATTTATCTTCGCAGAAATGTGTTATAATGGCGAGACGTACAGGGTGAGATAAAAAACGGCAACAAAGTCAAACGCCATAATTTTTACATTTTTTTTAATTTTATTGAATGAAAACAAAAAATGTTGAAAATAGCATCAAATTTTAAAATAAGTTTAGATTTGTTCGTATTGGTCACCTTTGGCACGAATTATGGCCTTCAAGCGTGCAATGAAACCGTCACACACTGACCGAATGTGTTCTATGGTATTTTGGCCTATTCCTGGCGAAGTTC